CACTCCCAAGAAATTTCCAAGAGGACAAGGTGTAGCTGGGGCACAGGGGTACAAGAGCACCTGGCTCCAGGGCTCCCAAACAAACAAGGTTCGCCCACTCGCCACTCACCAAATCCTAAGGCAGAGAAATGAGTGGTGGTGAACCAAGAAAGGAATTTTCTTCAGTGAAGCCAACACTAGGTATGTGCAGGTGGACAGTGAAGGTCAGGTCAATCATTGCCTTGAAATCAATCACCAGCAGGGTCATGCTGGCTCAGGGCAGTCCTTATTGCTTGAGGGGGTAGTTTCAGTTTCTGTCAGGGGATGCTCTGCCCATAGGGTCCTTTGCCTGAGTGAAGAAATAAGCTCTGAAAGGAGAACCTATTTAGAAAATTTGACGTCAACATGGGGGTAGTTGAAGTGGAGCAGTTATATTGACTTCCATGGCCTAATCTCAGAAGTCACATAGGATCATTTCAACTATTTGTTGAAGCAGTCCAAAAAAACATCACATTTATGGGGAAAGTACATAGACTACTAAATGGGTGAAGTGACAGTTATATTGTAAGGAGAGCATGTGGAATGAGAGATATTATAGTCATTTAAGGAAAATAAAATCTGCTATAATGCCATTTTACTTTTGTCCAAAAGAAAAAGAAAAAAAACTCCACCAAAAGGCCCCATTTTAGATCCTTTTTTCCTGGAATTAAACCTGAAAAAGTGGGGGAAAAAATTAAGGGGCACCTAGGTGGCTCAGTCGGTTAAATGTCTGCCTTCAGCTCAGGTCATGATCCTGGAGCCCAGCCCTATGTTGGGCTCCCTGCCCCTCCCTGTCCCTCTGCCTGCCACTCCACCTGCTTGTGCTCTGTCTGTCAAATAAAGAAATAAAATCTTAAAAAAAAAATTAATTGGAGTCCGCTCCAGTTACTTACCATGTATAGGTGTTATGTGTTTATGAGCTGGTCAATATTAATACCAGACAACAATCAGGTACACAGCCATAGCTGAAGGCAGGTGGTAGGACTACCAACCTACGTTTATGTGCTAGCTAATTAAAAAAAAAAAATTTTTTTTAAGATTTTATTTATCCGATAGTGACAGACAGAGTGAAAGAGGGAACACAAGCAGGGGGAGTGGGAGAGGGAGAAGCAGGCTTCCTGCGGAGCGGGGAGCTCGATGCAGGGCTCCATCCCAGGACCCTGGGATCATGACCTGAGCCGAAGGCAGACGCTTAATGACTGAGCCACCCAGGCACCCCTAGACTAGCTAATTTTTACCCCCAAATTTCTGGAACTACAGTAAAAGGTAATGATGATGCAGGCTGGCTGAGTCTGAGAACCCAGAGGGATTCCCACAGGACCAGCCAGGAGGATCCTTGGCTTCGTGCGGGATGGAAATCAAACACAAGCGGAGAGGAATTGAGAGCAGAGTTTATTGAAGATATATAGAGAGAAGATACAAGTAGAATTTCTGGGAGACTCCCGAAGAGAGAGAGAGTCTTGTCTTTGATTGAGGTCTTTTTTGTTGTTGTTGTTGTTGTTTTTTAAGATTTTTTTTTATTTATTTACTTATTGAGAGAGAGAATGGTAGAGAGAGAGCATGAGAGGGAAAGGGTCAGAGGGAGAAGCAGACTCCCCACTGAGCAGGGAGCCCGATGTGGGACTCGGTCCCGGGACTCCAGGATCATGACCTGAGCCGAAGGCAGCTGCCCAACCGAGCCACCCAGGCGCCCTGTTTTTGTTTTTTAATTAAGAATGGTGGTCGGCTGTATGTATCCTCCCAGCCATACCAGGCCCTGGGCAAAACAAGGATGAGTGCTCAAGTGTCCTCCATAAGTCACTTATGCCCTGGGTGCCTGGGTGGTTCAGTCATTAAGCGTCTGCCTTCGGCTTGGGTCATGATCCCGAGGTCCTGGGGGATCAAGTCCCGCATCAGGCTCCCTGCTCAGCGGGAAGCCTGCTTCTCCCTCGGCCACTTCCCCTGCTTGTGTTCCTGCTCTTGCTCAGTCTCTCTTCATCAAAAAAATAAATAAAATCTTAAAAAAAAAAAAGTCACTTATGCCCTGGAGCTAGGGGTATTGGCATCAAGGTGTAAGGAAACAGTGGTCTTGGAAAACTTTCATGATGACCTCACCCAGTCACCTTAGATGCTTTCTATTGTGCTGGAAGTCTCCAAAGTAATCATTAACTCCTTGACCTTTACAAGGAGGAAGTACAGTAAGTCATTGTGTGAGGCGGGGTGCAGGTCCTAGTGAGAATAGAGGCAGCAAGGGGCACCTGGGTGGTGCAGTCTGTTGGGCGTCTGACTCCTGGTGTTAGCTCAGGTTGTGATCACAGCATCATGTGAGTCTGCTAGGGTTCTCTCTCCCTCTCTCTTTGCCTGCCCACCCCCACCCCTCACCCCACTCCCCCACCCCAACCCTGCTCATGCATACTCTCTCTTAAATAAATAATTCTAAAAAACAAAAGGCAGGGGCGCCTGGGTGGCTCTGTCGAGCATCTGCATTCTGCTTGGATCATGATCCCAGGGTCCTGGGGTGGAGCCCCACGTTGGGCTCCTTGCTCAGCAGGAAGCCTGCTTCTCCCTCTCCCTGTTGTTCCTGCTTTCTCTCTCTCTCAAATAAATAAATAACATCTTTAAAAAAAAAAAGAGTAGCGGTAGCAAAACAAAGCAGCCTTTTATGGGGTCCTTCAGTTTCCCTGTCTCAATGGGAAATGGAGTAGAAAATAAGCAACCTCTGGCTCTTAGAAAATGCTGTTACAAGTAACATTTCTCTCCCATAATGAATAGTATAAGAAGGCATTCTCCCAATTTAAAAAAGGACCATTTTCTTATTGAAATAATAAACATGATGATAGGGTTCTCAAGGCAGAGTGGGAACAAAAAGAGGGAGTGTCTTTCTCTGGAGATTAAGGACTCCCAGGGAGGTCCTACTCAGTCTTTCAGGTCTGCCTTCTTCACTCTCCACAGCATTTAAAAGAGCTACTCTTCTTATGCCAGTAATTCACTCATTTAACAAAGGTTAATCCCTGTGTGCTGGGAAGGCAGGAATACAGTAGCGTGGAATAGAACAGATTCTCATAGCTTTCTCCAATCACCTCTCTTAATCATATACCTACTGGGATTTGCTTAGGTATTTTCCTAATTGTAACCATGGGAAAATAGATATGATGGTTAATTTTGTGTGTCAACTTGACGAAGCCACTTGGGTTGCACAGATATTTGGCCACACACTATTCTGGGTTTTTCTATGAAGGTACTTCTGGATGAGATTAACATTTGAATCTGCAGGCTGACTAAAGAAGACTCCCTTCCTTACTAGGGGCAGGTTTCATCCAATTAGTTAAAGTCTGACTAAAACAAAAAGGTAATAGGTAATTTTTAAAAACCCTATTATCGGGGGCGCCTGGGTGGCTCAGTTGGTTGGGCGACTGCCTTCGGCTCGGGTCAGGATCCTGGAGTCCCGGGATCGAGTCCCGCATCGGGCTCCCTGCTCAGCGGGGAGTCTGCTTCTCCCTCTGACCCTCTTCCCTCTCGTGCTGTCTCTCATTCTCTCTCTCTCAAATAAATAAATAAAATCTTTAAAAAAAATAAAAACCCTATTATCGGGCGCCTGGGTGGCTCACATGGTTGGGCGTCTGCCTTTGGCTTGTGTCGTGGCCCCAGGATCCTGGGATCATGTCCCGAGTCGGGAGTCGGGCTCCCTGCTCAGCGGGGAGACTGCTTCCCACTTCCCCTGCTTGGGCTCTCTCTCTCTCTCTCTCTGTGTGTCAAATAAATAAATAAAATCTTAAAAAAAAAAAACTATTACCTTCTCTGTGTTTTCCTCTTATACTACTGTGGTGTAGTGATAGGCAAAATTTCCATATAGGTGCTAATATCAAGTCTTTCAATATTTCTAGAATATAATAGGATTCATCTATGTTCAAAAGAAGTCCCAGATTCCAGCTTTCTTGGGCATTTATTAAAGAGCAGGAGGGGGGTGCCTGGGTGGCTCAGTAGATTCTGTGTCTGCCTTCGGCTCAGGTCACGGTCCCAGGGTCCTGGGATCGAGCCCTACGTTGGGCTCCCTGCTCCGCGGGAAGCCTGCTTCTCCCTCTCCCGCTCCCCCTGCTTGTGTTCCCTCTCTGTTGTGTCTCTCTCTGTCAAATAAATAAATAAAATCTTAAAGAAAAAAAAAAAGAGCAGGAGGGGGCTTGGGTAGGGGGAAGAAGAAATGGAATAGGATTTACGATAATTTTAAAGCCCAAGGTGGGGCAGTGAAGAGGAGCCTCTGGGTTTTATTTCTCCCTTCCTTCTTTCCTTTCTTCATTGAGCGCCTCCTCTTTCCTGTCCCCTACATCACACCCTCACATGCTCCTGTGTGGCCTCTCGCTAAAGGCGAAGAGAGGAGAAAAGCTGGAGAAATGGGAGTATTTTGCATTGGTAAGCCCAAGAAGCATGTTGAGGGAAGATGGGTCCTGATGGCCCCGGTTACCTATCTGGAACAAGCCTTTTATAGGCTATTTCTATGCCTAAAAGACACATAATGCAGATTTATTATGTAGCTATTATTAGCGTTCAACAATATGTTGTTCTTTTCTGCCAGATACACAGAAGACTTTTTCTCAGATGCCCTTGCAAGTGGGCAGGGTCATGTGATGATTATGACTAACGATATGTGGGCAAAAGTGACAAATCATTTCTGGGCTGTGGCAGTGTAAAGCTGTTTGCAATTCTCAAGTCTCTCTGCTGCCCCGATCACTGCACTAGTGGAAGACGCCTTGGGTTGAACTGGAAGAGCTAAAACATGGACTCAGAAGTAGACTATGTTTCTGAGTCACCATAGTGGATTGGGGTAGGAGGAGGGAAGTCCTGGTGAGCCACCCAGACCCACGACAAATTTTGTATGAGCAAGAAATAAACCTTGATTTTACTAAACAAGATTTTTGGAGCTACTCATTATCACAGCATAAGCCAGACAATCCGGCCGGATATAATTTTGAAAACTGGGGCCTGCATGTTTCGGAAAGCACAGACTTGTGCTTGTTTCGGCAGCACATATACCAGAGTTGGAATGATACAGAGAAGATTAGCATGGCCCCTGCACAAGGATGACGTGCACATTCGTGAAGCGTCCCATATCTCTCACACACACACACACACACACACACACACACACACACTTGACTTTATTTCTAGGGAATGGAAGGTATTGAGTTAGGACCTTTAAAAATCTTTGTGTATACTGGTAGTGGCAGTAGGCTATCCCAGGTCCTTGTAAAATAAAAATAGTGGCTGATAATAAAACCTCTGGGTATCTCTGAATAGAACTATTGGTCTTTTTCATGTCCAAAAACATACTGGTCTCTGATAAATTTATGTCATTTATTTATTTATTATTTATTTATTTATTTTTTTAAAGATTTTATTTATTTATTTGAGAGAGAGAGAATGAGAGAGAGAGAGTACGAGAGGGAAGAGGGTCAGAGGGAGAAGCAGACTCCCTGCTGAGCAGGGAGCTCGATGTGGGACTCGATCCCGGGACTCCAGGATCATGACCTGAGCCGAAGGCAGTCGCTTAACCAACTGAGCCACCCAGGCGCCCAATTTATGTCATTTAAATGGCTTTTTTGGAGACTACTTAAGCTTAGTATAAGTGATCACCTATTTCTTTTTTTCCCAGAAACCAGATTGGCTCTTTACATCGGCAAACCTACCAACTCCCTCAAGATAAAAGATTCTAGTATAGTGGGGACAAAGGGGACGGCAATGAATGTTGGAGTCAGTTGCACCCGGGTTTGAACGCCTGCTCCGCCGATTCCATCTGTGACACTGGGCAGTTACATGACCTCTCTAAGTTTAGTTTCCTCCTCTACCAAATAGGGGTAAAAATGCCTATTTGGGGGGCATCTGGCTGGCTTGATCTCCAGGTCTTAAGTTCAAGCCCAACACTGGGTATAGAGATTTACTTTAAAAAAAAATGCCGATTTGGTAAGGTTATTTTGAGGACAATAATGTCAAAATAATGAAAACCTCTAGGGGCGCCTGGGTGGCTCAGTCGTTAAGCGTCTGCCTTCGGTCATGGTCCCAGGTCCTGGGATGGAGCCCCGCGTATTGGGCTCCCTGCTCCGCGGGAGGCCTGCTTCTCCCTCCCCCACTCCCCCGCCTCTCCCTCCCCCACTCCCCCGCCTCTCCCCCCCCCCTCCCTCCCCCACTCCCCCTGCTTGCACCCCCACCCTCGCTGTGTCTCTCTCTGTCAAATAAATAAATAAAACCTTAAAAAAATAAAAAGGTAACTGTATAAAATCCATTTCTGTTTATTTACACTTTTTTTTAAGTTCTCCAGGTGATTCTTTTTGTTTTGTTTTTTTTTAAAGATTTTATTTATTTCAAAGAGAGCGAGAGAGCACAAGCAGGGGGAGCAGTAGAGGGAGAGGGAGAGGCAGGCTCCCCGCGGAGCAGAGAGCCCAATGCAGGGCTCCATCCCCGGACCCTGGGATCATGACCTGAGCCGAAGGCAGACGCTTAGCCATCTAAGCCACCCAGGCGCCCCTCTGTTTATTTACACTTAAAGAAAACAAATATCAAAGGAGGAAAATGTTTCACCTTTCAACAAAGAATTCTCTGTATATTTATTTTATTTTTATTTTTATTTTTTTAAAGATTTTATTCATTTATTTGAGAGACAGAGAATGAGAGATAGAAAGCACGAGAGGGAAGAGGGTCAGAGGGAGAAGCAGACTCCCTGCTGAGCAGGGAGCCCGATGTGGGACTCCATCCCGGGACTCCAGGATCATGACCTGAGCCGAAGGCAGTCGCTTAACCAACTGAGCCACCCAGGCGCCCTCTCTGTATATTTAAATAAAATACTACCTAACAAGCCTTGTATTTCAAAAAAATAGTTAGAACTACTTAATTTGCAATTAGCAAAGGACAACATGGCTTTTGGAAAATTTTACTTGAAGATTTAGAAGTCCATTATTTAGCCTTTACATTATTGGGCTCAATATGTTTACCTTGTCATTCTTAGTTTTTACTATGCTAAATTACCATCAAATCAATAATCTGTTTAAAAGATACTAACGCAGTCTTCTCATGTATTCCAAATTATCTCAATATGTGGATTGGGAAATGGTTTCCTTCTGATATGAATCTATAAATATATCTCCTAATACAGTTCCCCAATTTGTAATAGTCCTTGCACCTATGAATTGCTCTTAAATTCATCAGGAATATTTAGGAGGTGTTGGGGCACCTGAGTGGCTCTGTCATTAATCTGCCTTCGGCTCAGGTCATGATCCCAGGGTCCTGGGATGGAGCCCTGCATCCGGCTCCCTGCTCTGCTGGAAGCCTGCTTCTCCCTCCCCCACTCCCCCTGCTTGTGTTCCCTCTCTTGCTATGTTGCTCCATCAAATAAAGTAAAAAAAAAAAAAAAAAAAAAGAATTTTTAGGAAGTGCAAGGTTTAATACTCCCCTCCCCCAGGTAGCCTCAATAGTCTTAACATATGAGCACATAAACACAGTGGTCATAAAACAACATGACTAGTTTTTTTAATAGCAAATATGCCAAAATTAAAATACCACAAGTATTATCACCTTTAAAGTAATCACTTTGGGAAGTTATTTAGTTGTTGAAGAATATCATGATTTCTCAACATCTTTTTGTGACTCCAACATTTTTTTGTGACTTCAGAAGCTGGTACATTCTTTTCTATATCCTTGATCATAACAAATACGTCCTTTAAGAATAAATTTGAGGGGTGCCTGGGTGGCTCAGTCATTAAGTGTCTGCCTTCAGCTCAGGTCATGATCCCAGGGTCCTGGGATCGAGCCCCGCGCCGGGCTCCCCGCTCGGCGGGAAGCCTGCTTCTCCCTCTCACACTCCCCCTGCTTGTGTTCCCTCTCTGGCTGGCTCTCTCTCTGTCAAATAAATAAATAAAATCTTAAAAAAAAAAGAGAGAGAATAAATGTGATTTTTTTTTTTGGAAAGATTCAAAAGTTACTTAGGACCAATTCTGATGAATTAAGTGATCAAGATAGTAGTATCTTCTTTGCTAAAAGATGAGATATAATTATAAGATACTATTACTCATAGTCTGACTTGGAATGAATGGCAGAACTTTGGAATAAAAATATAAACTCATTTCAGAATTTATCTTTTTAAAACTTATTCCAGAATTTAAAGGATAAGATTCATTTGGGTATGTACATGTGTAAATACACACAAATACCCACTATGTGCTGCAAAAGCCATTATTTTTTATTTCATACTTTCTTCAGCAGCAGCTCTATTACCTCTCCTGCTTCTGGCTGCCAGGCCACAAAGCAGTAAGAACACATCAGTGCCTTTATCTCCTGGATGGAGAGGAGAAAGAAGGCAGAGCAGAAAATGTATTCAAAGAAGTAATGGCTGAAAAATTCCTGTATTTGGCAAAAATCTAGAGATTCGAGAAGTTTAGTGACTTCTTTAATAGGATAAATTCAATGAAATCCACACAAGACCAATCATAGTCCTAGTCAAATTTCCAGACACTAAAAAAACAAAAACAAAAACAAAACCCTGAAAGTAGCCAAAGAGAAATACCACATTACCTGTAGGGTAAAAACAATAGATTTCCATTGAAACCATGTGGGCCAGAAGGAAGTGGCAAAACAGTTTTCAAGTGTTGAAAGAAAAGAACTGTTGACCCAGAACTCTCCATCCAGGGAAAATAACCTTCAGGAATGAAGGGAAAGGGGATTGTGGTTTTTAAGATTTGGAGTACAACAGCCAATCTGGGAGTGTTTCCTTGGTAAGTTGGAGGTAAACAGTAAGATCAGGAGATGTACTTTGGGGAAGCAGGGAGTTCATGGGAGAGTAGAAACTCTTCCTTGGGGATTTGATCTAAGGGTTATAGAGGGGTTGGAGAATAAGAAAATCTTGGGGTATCCTGAAAAGTTCTTAGTAAGCCCCACTTATCAGTCTGGATGCTCCAAGGGCTCGGAAGTTATCTCCCAGGGGCCACTTAAGGGACAGTCTTTCCTTTGCAAGGTACAGTTTGTACATCACAAGCCTGCTGAGCTGACCCTTTATTTGACATACAGCAACCAAATGCAATGTGTGGACTTTGTTTATATCTGAAAAAAGCCACTGTAAAACAAAACAAAACAACAACTTTTGTCTTCTAACAGCTTATTAAGGTATAATTGACATACAATAAATTGCATATACTCAAACTGTACTGTTTGATAAAATTTGATATATGCATACACCTGTGAAACCATCACCACAATCATTCCAATTTTAGTATACATGCTGCCAAAGAAAGCATACCAACACCACAATCAAAATTATGACCATATTCTTCAGCCCCAAGAGTTTCTTCTCATCCCTCTGGAATCCCTCCCTCTGGCTTCTCCCTGTTGTCCCTAAACCAGCTGATCACTTATCTTCTAAGGTTGTATTATTTAGAATTTTATATAAATGGAATCATATAAAAAAATAAAAGGAACACTACAGTATGTACTCTTTTGTCTGGCTTCTTTCGGCATAATTATTTTGAGATTCATCTATTTTATTATTCCATGGATAGTGTATTTCTTTTTATTGCTGAATAGTATTCCATTGTATGGATATATCTCAATTTATTTTTACCTCAATTTTTCCATTACCTGATGACAAGCATTTTGGATTCTTTCCACTTTGGGAATTAAAGTGCCATGAACATTCATATACATTACTTTCATTACTCTGGGTTAAATACCTAAGAGTGGAATAGCTGTGTCATATGGTAGGTATATATTTAACTTTTTTTAAACTAAAACTGCATGATAGAATCTTAATGTAAAACCTAAAACCATAGAACTTCTAGAAGAAAACATAGGGAAAAATCTTTGTGAACTTGGGTTAGGCAAAAATTTCTTGGATATCACAACAAAACATGATTCATAGAAGAAGAAACTGAGGAACGAATTTCTTCAAATTAACAACTATATGCAGGGAGGGGAGACTTAAAAAAAATAAGAAGAACTATGTTCTTTGTGAAACACTGTTCAGAGAATGAAAAGGCAGGATGCCTGGTGGCTCAGATGGTTAAATGGCTGCCTTTGGCTCAGGTCATGATGTCAGGGTCCTGGGATCAAGTCCCATATCGGGCTCCTTGCTCG